TGTGTGTGTGTGTGTGTGTGTGTGTGTGTGTGTGTGTGTGTGAAGCGCTCAAAGTATGCAAAATGTGAAACTATAAATTTAAAATCTGTAAAAAATTTCGAGACTGTAAATTTAAAATCTAATTCAAATGAATCTGCCTATTACAAAAAGCAATTTAAACGAAGTAACAGTGTAACGTATTTTGCCGATGTAGTCAGTTATGGGAAAAGAATTGGTATCTACAAGAAAATAAGCGATAACTTGAACGGCCAACAGCATCAGTCCAGTAAAATCGTTAACACGGGATACTGATAATGATTGCCCGGATGTTTGCAAACCAAGACAGGAAGACTAAATTCTAATAATGAAATGAGAACAAAAACTGTTGAAATTTAAAAGACAAACTTTTACCTGCACATTCTTCATCGCATATCATTATTTTTATGTTTCAATCTATTCGTACAGTTCACTCGTACCAATTCCTGGTAATCACGCAATCCGAGCTGCCGGCCGGCCTATAAAATGAAGCAAAATTTTAAAGGAAAAAAGTAGTCGTAGCAAAGAGGGCCAACATTTCAGAGTGGCAGCCCTCTAAAGTAATAAATGTAATAAATACTAAGGTAATAAATGCTTTTCACGCAGTTCCATCCAACGGATGTTTACTGTCAAGAATTTTTACTGTTCTACATGTAGCTGTATGGAAAAACGGTCGATACGTTTCCGGTCCCTAAGTTGCGCTATTTTCTACTAATAAACTCCACCTTCACCTGAAATATAAGCGCATCCGAAAGCCGAATTTCTTTGGATCAGTACTTGAGACCTAGGCGTACATGGTAGCTAAAATTAAATTAGTGGAATCTCTGCAATGACAGAAAACATCATCCTGAAATCTCAGCCTCCTGGTTTCTGAGTTAATAATTTCTCCCGCCACGTCTTGGGGCCCTACTTAAGACCCTACTCAGTTTAATGTCGGGTCGTATGTGTGTAGGGAATATTCCCTTAAATTTCAGCTTCCTAGCTTTTGTGGTTCCCGAGTTGAAAGTGCGGGGAAAAATGCATTCGGCGATACACACAGACGCAGACAGCGGCAAGACAATAAGTGCCTAATGCTACTGTTACACAGCACAAAACGCATAAAAAAAGGAATACACGACAAACGCATGCATATACAGGTGCCACGGGTGAAGAGAACTGCTTCTGGAAAGGGACAAGGGGGAAAGTGCGCAATCCAAAATGGGTTACCTTACTCTCCGCACTGAGAGCTAATGCTGAGCTTCCCAGGCAGCAACGGAAAGAAACTGGGTAGCTAAGAGAGAGAGAAAAAAAAAAAAACAGTACAAGCACCAGGATAATGGAAGATTCGACCGAAGGGTGAAAATTAACTAACGCAAATAGGAATTCAGGCGTTAAAACCAGCTCCGAAGCGGCAAGCAGAGAGCGGAAAAGGGGATCTCGAAACGCTGCAAGCAAACGCAGAAAAATGAGCCCCTTGCAAAAGGTACGCAAAGATAATATGCCACAGTACTTCTCCTACGACAGTAAACATAACACAAGGATATTTCGGCCTTAAAAAAATACATCGGCCTGGATTTGACGGTAGACGTCCTGGATGTCGACCGGTGGGAGTCTGATCCTTCTGGCCCACTGCATTCCGGTTAAATCCACTTCGGCGCAATCACTGTCAATCGCTGTCGTTGTTGAGTGCTTCCCCTGTCGTGATACGGACATACCTGAAACGAAAAGGAATGAAGCACCACAGTTTCTAAGCAGTAAAAATCCGAAACAAATAGCAACGCGCACCAGACTAGCCGGTGTGATCATGCGTTTTGTGCAATTGAGCCCATCGAACGATTGCCTGTTAAATATGATTTTCACTGCTTTGTACTTTTGTCTATACAGAAATAGTTCAAACACTGGAAAACAATTAAAAATTTCACACACTAGCGCATGAAAACTGAATTCGAAACCTTGAAGGGTGGATATCTTTCCGTGATTTAACAGTTTATCCGCCAAAATATCCACGAGGCCGTAGGTGATACTCAAGAGCGCGGGGACGCTGAATTTGAATAAACAAGGTTGAGCGTGGGCAGGGGGTCATTACCCTAAAATTTCAGCCTAGACTCCGTGGTTCCCGAGATATTAATTTACCCGTAAAAAACTTCCATGGGGCCTTTACCCGCGGATACGGGAAGGCTGAATTTGAATCGGCAAGGTTGAGCGTGGGCAGGGGGTCATTACCCTCAAATTTCAGCCTCCTAGACTCCGCGGTTCCCGAGACATTAATTTACCCGCAAAAAGCTTTCACGGGGCCAGACGTGTTACCCGCGGGTACAGGGAGGCTGAATTTAAATTTTAACGGGGTGGGGAACGCTCCCCTAAATTTTCAGCTTTCTAGCTTTCGTGGTTCCCGGTTTGAAAGTTGCGGACAAGTTACTGCGGGCACACACACACACATACACACACACACACACACACACACAGACAACCACGTGACAATTTGCGTTTCGTACGGCTGTTACACAGCACAAAAAGCACTGCTTGGGTGAACAGAACCAGACTAATGGCAAATGGGGTATATATGAGCCGAATTCATGGCTGCCGACGAAAAATTCGTTTTGATCCAGAAAGTGTCAACTTCCGCCTGCCCCAATTTTCTTCAAATAATAACCCGCCTGACAACTCACTGTAAGATGATAGCACTCAACGATGGCCCGGCCACCCAGAGCAACCATCTGCTTTCGATCTCTCCCTCTCCGGAAGGCTGCAGAGACCTCGCCCGACATTTTGGCAACAATCTAAAACCAGATGAATCATTGGCCGTTTTTCCACCAAACAGTAGCGTCAGTTTTCATAACCCACAGTTCGCCGGTCACAGCACCCGGTGAATTCAAAACAGATAACTTCACGTACTCTAATTAGGCACGATCACAACAAGGTGCAATGGTAAAATAAAACCAATTTATTTTTAGATCAGACGAAGAAGCGGAAAAAAAAGCAAACGAACGAAGAAAGCAACATTTTTCCGACAAACACGAAACCAAATTTGCTAATTTGGAGGAGGGCGCAGGCGGGAAAGGAAGGGGGGAGGGAGAAGGGAGAAAAAAAAAATGAGCTGAAAACCACTGATTCTAGATGCACAGCACATACCGATTAAAAAAAAAAAA